TTAATATCTCAGCCAAACTGTCTTTGTGCTTCACATCATTTTAATACCTATTTTTGATTAATAAAGGTTTAGATTTTAATGTAACTGCTTTCCAGTCATGCCTTCAGGGAGCTGTTGTTTGTGGCTCCAAGGGGTCCTCCACTATCTTCCAATTTCTTAGCTGTCCATCAATTGTGTTTCACCTCCATTTATTGTATTTCACCTATTTAACCAAGAATGATCGAGCTAGAGACTGATGTTTGAATTTCTTGGGACCACTAGGTAGTAGGATTAGGGTAGTTTGCTCTTAGGGTTTTCTGTATGTAGCTTAGAAATTATACTGTAGATTGCATGTGCTTCATTTATTTGTATTATTTATTTTGACAATGTGTCATTTCATATATAAAAAAGGGTGTCCCTTTTCACAAATATTTCTGATTTGTATTTTAATGTTTTGTGAAAACACTAAACTGGACTGAACTAAACTGAAAAACTCATAGTACCTTATTACCCCACCAGAGCACTGCGCTCCCAGAATGCAGGGCTACTTGTGGTTCCTAGAGTCTCCAAAAGTAGACTAGGAGCCAGAGCGTTCAGCTATCAAGCTCCTCTCCTGTGGAACCAGGTTCCAGTTTGGGTTCAGGAGGCAGACACCATCTCCACATTTAAGAGTAGGCTTAAGACTTTCCTCTTTGATAAAGCTTATAGTTAGGGCTGGCTCAGGTGAGTCCTGAACCATCCTTTAATTATCCTGCTGTAGGCCTAGACTGCCGGGGGACTTCCCATGATGCACTGAGCTCCTATCTCCTCCTCTTTCTCTCCCTCTGTATGCAACCTCATCCCATAAATGCATATTACTAACTCGACTTCTTGCCTTTCCCGTAGTCTTGTGCTTTCTCGTCCCTCTTTTCTCTCCTTCTATCACTTCCTGCAGGTGTTTCTGGCTCTGGAGCTGTGTTTGCGAGGCCCCTGCTGCCACCGTGTTCCTGCTCGACACCCTCTGCCACAATTATAGTTACCATTCCTACTAGTCCTGTACGTATTATTGTTATTATTATCAATTATTCATTCAGTCTGTACCAGCATTACCTTTACTGTCTGTACCTGTGTGTGTGTGAATTGTTGGCTTTCTGTAAATAACATCACAGATTACTGTTTGCAGCTTTCTTGTGCACCATCTTTAGAAGAGGCTTCCTTCTGGGATGACAGCCATGTAGACCAATTTGACCCACCCCTTCAACCTCTGCAGCAATGCTGGCAGCACTCGCACGTCTGTTTCCCAAAGACAACCTCTGGATATGATGCTGAGCATGTGCACTCAACTTCTTTGGTCGATCATGGCGAGGCCTGTTCTGAGTGGAACCTGTCCTGTTGAACTGCTGTATGGCCTTGGCCACCGTGCTGCAGCTCAGTTTCAGGGTCTTGGATATCTTCTTATAGCCTAGGTCATCTTTATGTAGAGCAACAATTCTTTTTTTCAGATCCTCAGAGAGTTCTTTGCCATGAGGTGCCACGTTGAACTTTCAGTGACCAGTATGAGGGAGCGTGAGAGAGATAACACCAAATTTAACACACCACGAGTCACATGACATCGGGGAGGGCAAATGGCAAGCTGTACGCTCACTACTTTACAATGTAGAAAAGTGTAATTTCTTCAGTGTTGCCACATGAAAAGATATAATCAAATATTTACAAAAATGTGAGGGCAGTAGCTCATTGCGATTTCTTGAAACCCAGCAAGAAGATGCAGCTACAAGCTCAGTGTTATGTGACTTGTAGTGGGAGTAAGGGATTGCTTGTGTTTGCAAACTAGTTGGCCTCTAATGAACACTTCAGTACAGTCCATTACACATCTGACATGTTGGAAACCTGTAGTCTTGAAGAGGCTGGGGAGATTTCTTCTGATATCTTTTCTGGATGGCCACCGGACCAAGCATTGTAACTCTTTAGCCTTCACCTCGAGCCATTCATGCAAGATGTTTGAGACGGTTCCACAACTCACTCTGAAGTGAAAAGCTAGATCTCGATGAGTTAAGCCTAATAGAAACTTCATAAGGACCTGAAGAAACTGCTCAGGAAAGGTTAAGTTTGGTTGATAATGCATTCCAAGCCATTGTCAGGTAAATGGGAAGGGTGAAAAACACAGAGGCAGATGGCAGACCAGTGTAAAAATGTGTGTGCTTGTCATCATTTAAAATAAAATCGGACATACTGCTAAACATAATCTTGTAGGCGTTTTTCTTGAGATTCCAGTTTCTTCTCCAGTAAAGCCAGTTTTCCCTTCAAATGACATTGACAGATCTGCCATTGACATGTACCCACAGCAGTCCATCCTTCAGGGTCAGCATGGATGACCTCTATGGAAGGTGAATTCTGTCTTCTCTGTTACCGCTTCAACTTCTGGGAACCATCAATGGTGTTTTTGTGTGCAAATATTGATGAATCTTGGTGGCATGGGTCCGCTGATGGCACACCTAAAATAAAAAATTGACAGAAACAGTTAGTGCTGACAGTATTGCACTTTGCTGAGCATCATACATTCCCTGCATAATACATAAAAAAAAAGTGTATTCTTTTAGGATATTGCTTAAAAACATGATTACATGAGACACAAACTGGGGCTTATGCGCAGCATAGCCTACTGGCAGGGATGATAAATGTATTTAAAATGTGTATTTGAATGAATATTATAATTTATAATACAAATACATTTTTGAGAGTTGTTTAGTTTAATATGTGTAATATGTTTGGACTGTCTTGGACCATTGGAATACCGTATGCATTTACAAATGGGAGTAGTTCCCCATGAAAGTATTAGTTTGTTTCCCTCTCCTTTTCAGTACCATCGTGGCACACAGGGCTGTGTGATTTGATGATATATATTGTTTGACGATAGAAAAATGTCTATCGTTTACAATTATGCTCTATCCTTTATTTTGTTGTGTTGAAATTCCACACTTTAATCTTTTCGCAAGGGGACAGCGCTTTGAACAGCGGTGAAGTTAGTTTTACACATCCATCTTAAAACTAACTTCACCACGGTCTGTTTTTCCACACTTGCTGCTAACCCACAACCTAGCTAACATTGGTTACATCACTTGCTGTGTCGTCATGCACTCTAAATCATGGTATTTTTCACGGTATTGTATTTCTCCAAAATCGCATTCCCCACCTTTATGATTCAGAGAAATATCATGAGTTACAGTTGGAAATTCCAACAGTAATTCATGATATTTCATTGAATTTTAACAAAATTCTATATATCACCACCTCGTTTTGATTAAATTATCAAACGAACAGTGGATCATAGATGTTTGTTTCTGGCTTCCAGCATTAGTTTGCGTAGTTAATGAGGCTTTATTTTCCCAGGATCGTGCCTGGTGTGAGACTGACTGATTGAAAGTGAGGCTTAAGGGGAACCAATCTAAAGGCACATTATATACTCTAATCAAAGAACATGTATTCTTGGGGTGGCCTTTCTAAAATAAGCAGTGATAAAAGTTTCTATATGCTGTTATGATTAAGGAGTTGAGAAGCAGATAGCACTAGCTAGAAAAGTTGAAAAGTTGTCTACTAATTACTAACAAGGTAAGGTGCTTCTCCTATAAGAAAGATGATTAGCTGAATTAAAAACTGATTGACAACTGGTTCAGGCGATGTATTTGGTGAAATTAGGTTTTGACTGTCAGAGGATTTTAGGCTGCTGATCGACCAAATGTAAAAATGATTGACAGTTACCTTGCCCATTCAGTTTCTTGTATGCAGAGACGCCCTACTCAAATATAATGCAAAACAAATAGTTAAAATACATTGAAATTTGGCATGCAAAACTTACCTCCGCATGGGGGTTCTTTCAAAAGGATTCGACGGGGCTCGCACATCTGTTGTTAGTTCTGTCAATTCCGTACAATTTAAGGTTGTTTTTTAAAGCTATATCAAGCAACTAGTATGTAGGCTGTTGTGATCATTGAAGCTGTTTTTCATAATAAGATAATGGAAAATCAATTTGACTAAAATTACAAATAATTATTGGTTTTGGCTTGACTAGATTGACTGAAAAGTTCAATATAATCTGATGACTAAAATACAAAATTTCAACAGGTTTAATTGAAAAAAAACCTAGTTTATATAGTTATTTAGTTTTGACCTTCTTTGACTAAGACAAGACTGAATGGCCAGACATTTAGTCAATTAAAACTTGACTTAAAAAACTGAATGAAATCAAAACCCCATTGTTTAAAGAGGTGGTATTCTGCTTTTTGGCTTTTTCCCTCTCCTTTATTGAGTTATATATCTTTTTTGTGCATGTAACAGGTTTTGCAAAGTGAAAAAGTCCAGCCCAAAGGGAGTTCCCATCTCCCACAGAAAGCTCTGCTCTGAACCGCTTGAAAACAGCTCGTTTATAGTCCAGCCCTTCACTTCCTTTACTTGTGACGTCACAATGAAAATGCATCATAAAGCTTGCCAAGCAGCTGGCGGGGTCAGGCACTCCCTCAAACCAAGCTAGTCTGAGCGGAGGCCCTTTGGCTCAACTCGCCTTTGTTTGGTTTTCCATTGTAGAAATGTTGTACCTGTACCTGCTTCCAGGTACAACCTCCGTCGAGGTTCTGGGAACAGCGCATGTGCAACTTCCAACAAAGATTTTGTACAAGTAAGATGCATCACTCTGTATCTCAAGAGCGGAGCCTACAACACACAGGGTGAAAAGAGGAGCTGCAGCAATGTGCAGTATGAGAAAAATATGGTGTTTTTTGAAAATTAAACCATGTAAACCTAAATAAATTTTGAACTTGAAAATAAACATAATACCACCTCTTTCAAATTATTGCAGATTTCAATAGTTACTCTGTCCTCCATTATGATAATGCAATATAACGATGCATTACGTGCTGTTCTAGAATGGAAATCTTGACAGCCACAGCAACAGTAAGTGGATTGTCAATTATAAGCCCAAATTACATGTATTGTTCAAAAGTTATAGTACATCAAAAATCAAATCAAGAAGCAACAGAACTGCCAAATTATTAAGTAATCAGATTTATTCCAGACTTGAAATTCACAATAAATCTGGTTGTCCCAGTCAGCCTTTCTTTTTTATTCAAAGTGGAAATGGAAGTAAAGCAGGACCAAAATACCATTTGTATACTGTAGTGGAGAGCTCATTTTCTCTCAGAACAGGAGAAGAAAAAGAGGATCCCAAAAATCAAGTGTTATATGTGGCTGCTTTTGATGATGTCAAAATGCACAAGATGACAGATGTGAGACAACAGAAGAGACACTACAGAAGACTCATAGGTGTGACACTGTACGGGGTGCTTGCTTTATAAATTCAAGAGCAACCACAACATCTTTCTGTGCAAATCTAAAAATTGCTCGTCACTTTGTGTACAATGATTGTAGCTTTGTAAGGATTCTCTGTCATGACACTACAAGTATCCTCTTGTCTGCGTGACAGCACATCCAGCAACCAAAAGACAGCCAGGCTGACTGATCAAAGGGAGAGAGGACTGACTCACATCTCTGCTGCTCTTTGTTCTTGGTCTAATGATCTCTCTACCTCTACTTGTATTTTGATGTAATCTCTGACTCTCTGTGAGTATACGATGCCAAAGAGGGATGAGCAACACAGGAGATAAGTGGCAAAGAGAACTGCACCATTACATGGATCTGCCAGCTGTAAATGGTAAAATGCAAACGTTTCTGAGGCTGCTCTGTCTGCGGGAAGAGAAGTGGTGGGATTGATGGAAGCTTTTGTGAGTGGTAGCCGGGACAAGAAGAGGAGAACAAAATGAGAGTAGAAAAAAAATGGAGAGAAACATTTTTAGTAACGCCGGGATGAGCGGAGGCTGCTGCTGCTGCTGCTGCTCATTTTTGTGCTAATGCCTCCGCCGCCACTCATGGACATGCTCATGCCACCCATTCCGCCGTATCCACCGCCACTGCCCATGCCGCCGCCCATGCCGCCGCCCATGCCGCCGCCATAGCCTCCGCCCATGCTGCCGCCATAGCCGCCGCCCATTCCGCCGCCATAGCCGCCGCCCATGCCGCCACCCATGCCGCCGCCACCTCCTCCACCACCTGGTGATGAGAAAAAAAATGTTTTTAGATGAGATGACAGGAATTTGAATTTACTTATATCATATGCTTCAAGCCAACTGATTCTCATTTTCAGTAATTTTTTCAGGAAAATCTTAGAACTGGCTTAGAAATGACTTGAATTGTATATATGTCAATACATACCGTAGCTACTGCTTGAGCTCTGTACGTGGATGGTTGTAGCTCCACCACCAGAAGCAATTCTGCAGAAAGGTACATTAATACAATAGATGCAATGCATGTGCGTGTTCAAAAGATTAAATGTCTCGTGTGAAGCTATGCTTTTACCTGGATTCCTCTCCTTCCAGAAGCTTCTTGTAGGTGGCAATCTCAATGTCCAGAGCTAACTTGACATTCATGAGCTCCTGGTACTCGCGGACCTGGCGGGCCATGTCCTGTTTGGCCCTCTGCAGGGCTTCTTCCAGATCCTTGATGCGGGCCTTGGCATCTTTCACAGCCAGCTCACCGCGTTCCTCAGCCTCAGCTATCTGGGCCTCCAGGTTGGCACGCTGTGAGGCAGGAAAGTTAGAAGAAGCTTCAGATGTGATATTTCTGATTCAAAAAGTATTGGGGTCAATCAATGTCAATGTCATTGTAAATGCGTAGAATATGAGTCATGAATATATATCACAAGGTCTACAAATAAATTCAAAATCCACAAACAAACGCCAAATTGTACTTGAAACCAGAATTTAAATAATGCAAAATGATTTGTGTGCATAAGTTACTGTGAGACTATTTTCAGATAGTTTTTTTGTGTTTTTGCTATATATATATATATATTTGTGACTCAAAGTTTGTGTATTGACAATAATACTGACATTGATTTACCCCCATAAAAATGTTCAGCATCTGGTTTTTAATATATTCAGGAAAATAATAACATTTTAAATGTTTTGTGCATAGCGGTCTATAGCTGAATGTAATTCAGGTAATCAGCGCTGTAACTTATGTGTGAACTTACCTGTCCCTTGACTGCCTCAATCTCATTCTGGAGGCGGCTAATCATGCGGTTGAGCTCAGCAATCTCACTCTTTGTGTTGCGAAGGTCATCTCCAGCCTGTCCTGCACTGGTCTGCATTTCCTGGAACTAAAGGAATACGATTAAAAATAATTGTTATTACAGATTTCTCAGACCTTCCTTTCTATTATAATTTGACATTCCAGAATGTGTGTTTCACATTGGACTTGATGAGATGACTTTCTCTCTGCCCACCTTCTGCTGATACCATGATTCAGCATCAGCACGGCTGCGTTTGGCAATATCCTCATACTGAGCCTTGACTTCAGCCACAATGGCGTCCATGTCCAGGTTGCGACTGTTGTCCATCTCCACAATGACTGAGGTGTCCTTGATCTGTCCCTGGAGCTCAAGCAGTTCCTGCACAAAATAAATGTGTTGTTTTCAGAACTGATATTAAAACAGTTGTGGCCCTATCTTGCACCAGGCAGCAAGTCGCAGCACAAGTGTCATTGCTAGTTTCCAACCGAAGCAGCTGTTATTTTCACACTCAGCGCCCACAGTGTTGAATAAATAGCAAATATTCTTGCACCCGTCTGTGCGCCCATGGGAGTGCTGGTCTTAAAATGAGGTGTACTCAGGCAAATTATTGAAGCATTGCTATCTTGAGGCAGCAGAAAGCAACTGCATTATGGACCAAATAAAACCTGGTCTAAAGTCAATAACGCAGTATTTCATTGTTATTATTCCGATGGTAATATGGTGTGCACAGCAGCCTAACTTCATTGATTATTAAAATCTCCCAAAAATCTGACAGGATCGGTCAGGATCTAATATTAATTCCTGTTCTGACTTCTTCTACAAATCCAAAAAGGTCTCACACACAGTCCAGGTTCATACACTGTAGTAAAGCAGACATCCTCATCAACTTTGAGTAAAAGTGGTGTAATATCTGTTTCTATACTTTGTCTGTGCCTGCCAGTGTCCCCTTTAATGTTAGGTAAATTAATAAGTTTCCCTCAAAGTGAGAGCAAAAAAACATGATAGGACTGAGGTGTGGTTCATTTTTATTACCGCTTCATAGACAGCTCTGAGGAAGTTAATTTCATCCTGAAGGGCATCAACCTTGGCCTCCAGCTCAACCTTGTTCATGTACGCACCATCTACATCCTGTAAGTACAAAAGAAGGGAAGTGGTCTGAATTGATGATGGCTCAGAGGGAAAGCAATAATTCAATCCACTGCTGTTAATGACACGGTGTGTGACAGATGCTCTCTCACCTTCTTGAGGAGCACAAACTCATTCTCCACACCAGCACGCTTGTTGATTTCATCTTCATATCTGACAAAAACAATGGAAAAATTTACTAATGGAAAATGACTGTAGGCTTCTGCACTGTACCTGTGAGACATGGCATGCTTGGTTTCCTGTGCTGGTATGAACTCACTTGTTCTTGAAGTCCTCCACCAGTCCCTGCATGTTCCTCAGCTCTCCCTCCAGTTTCATTTTCTCATTGCCGAGCCCATCCAGCTGTCTGCGCAGGTTGGCGATGTAGGCCTCAAACATGGCATCGATGTTGGAGCGGGTGGTCGTCTGGTCCTGCAACAGGCTCCACTTGGTCTCCAGCATTTTGTTCTGCTGCTCCAGGAAGCGAACCTTGAAGGTAAAATAATTTGCCAAGTTTAGATCCACTGTCACTTGGGGAAGGGTATTACTTTGAATATGACTATAAAACCAAAATAATCAGAATATGTAATTATGCTTCAATAGAACTGCATAATACACTGTAAATATCAAATTCTATAGATTAGTGTCCTTGGCAGTGTCTGTTTTTCTTTATCTTACTGTCAGCAAACCACAAATAAAGAAGGCAAATGTTTTTTATTATACATTAGCATGCTCATTCTGAGGTCATGTTTTTGTTTTTCTTTCCTCAGGTGATCCTTCGAGCCACACCATTGTGTGACTTTCCCACAACTTTTGTAGACACCAACATTGGCAGCTGCTGTACTAAAATGGGCAGGGATGATGTAGACACTATCTGCTGTGGAGACTTTCTGCTCAGTATACTTGAACTGTACTTGATCTAATGAAATCATTATTTGGGAATATCTGACATCATCTTCAGAAACATTGTTCAAAGTATGTTCCTAGGAGACAGAAACTGCATGCAAGGCAGAGTACTCTGCCACTGTTCTCTTTTTTTAAGGCAAGGTGAGGTGTACAGTGCCACACCCTTGCCTCTAGGATGCATACTTTAACTGAGTGAACTTGCCTGCCACAGCCCTTAATAATTAATGTAACATGCCTGCAGCTATTAACTGTCACATCATTTGGGTGCTGATGCTTGTGTAATAATTATTATTTTTTTATAGAAATGTTAAATTAAAATGTTCAAGTAACATTTCATGCCTACTTTTCTACAGCTATTACCAGTGATAACGTGAATACTTAATTGCATAATATTCCATTTGGAATCATTCAGTAGTAATACATAAACTTTTAATGAACAGGATTGGATCCCATCAATTCTAAATGAAAGTTTAGATGGATGAATTAATAAAATTTCTCCCTCTTCATATGGAATAAATGACTGTAGTAAAGTTAATGCAAGGACTTTTGAAACATCGGCTCAAAATGTTAAAATTCATAGTAATAAGCACTGCATTGCAAGTGCTTCAGTCCTTGTGGCCATGGGATAAGATGATAACCTGATCCCTTCTTCCCCTCCTACTGAGAACCACCAGTAACTGGATATCAAGTCTAGTGTTTCCTACCTCTCAGTCTACACAGAGACAGCTCCAAAGGGCCCATTATTGTCAAAGAGGAATTAAAGGAGCAGTGGTCTGCTTTCACATTGAGCGTGAAAGAGACTGGCTGAGGCACAGTATTTCTGAGGTGCATACACTTAAGTTCTTCAAATTAGTCTTCAGATTCACCTCTTGCTAGGCCCTTAGTGTGCACATTCTCAGGTTTGGATCAGTTGCTGTGTAATATTTAATGAGCCAGGTGGCCCCTTAGCCGCTTGCACAAACCAAGTAACTCAGTCATCCGACATCTATTCCTAATATTTGATGTTCCTCAGTTAATTTATATCAAATTAAATTTAGAGCTAACTTCAAAAACATTCTGGATATAATTATAGAATATGTATGTATGTATGTATGTATAATATATTTATATCATTTAAAATAAGATGTAAATCAGGTATACAATGAAATGAAAGTGTGGGACATAATCTTAAGACAAAAGCTGTTTCACTAACTCAATAAGGGCCACTCACCTTGTCAATGAAGCTAGCAAAGCGGTTGTTCAGAGTCTTGATCTGCTCTTTCTCTTGGGTACGGACAGTCTGAATGTTGGGGTCGATGTCAATGTTCAGGGGGGCCAGCAGGCTCTGGTTGACTTGAACGTTTGTGATCGGAAGCGATGCCATACCTCCGGCACCACCACCAAAACCACCACCAAAACCAGCACCACCACCGAAACCACCGCCACCACCGAAACCACCACCACCACCGAAAGCACCGCCACCACCATAACCACCACCACCACCAAAAGCACTGCCACCACCATAACCACCACCACCACCACCGCCCATGCTTAACCTTTGCATTGAGCCACCAGCAGAGCTGGATGATATTGAGTATGACGGCCTGAGCAGAATGGCAGATTTTGTGGAAAATGATCCTCCTCCTCCACGGCTACCACTGCTGAAACCTCCACCGCCGACAAAACTACTACCGCTGAAACCACCACCACCACCACCTCCACCACCGCTTCCTCCATAGCTGGACCTGAAAGTTTTCACGCTAACAGTTTTCATGGACGACATGGCTAGTCTTGTTTCCTCTGAAAGGATAGAATTCACAGAGAAAAGGGAGAGCAGAGAGACAGAGGTTTGGCAGAGCACTAAGAGGAGAGTCAAGTCCCTCTAAGTATCTTCTCTCTGTCTGTGATGGATTTTTATCTGTTCCCAATTGTGGAGGAGGTCCCAGTGAGCTCCACCTCCTCTGCACCTCCCACTCAACCCTGCTCCAATTACATGGATCGTGGAAGATCCTGGTGCACTTGCAGGCAGGGAGACTGGCTTTGAACAGTGGAGCCTGTCTGACAGGTAACAGTGCCACCCTGTAAAGTGATTGGGGCACAACACACCCAGGTGCTCACAGAGGAGTGGCATTCTGATGCCCCGGGTGAGAGGGGAAGAAAGAGATGCTGGCAAAGATATTTGACATGCGAGTGAGTGTGTGTGAGTGTGAGTGTGTGTGAGTGTGAGTGTGTGTGTGTGTGTGTGTGTGTGTGTGTGTGTGTGTGTGTGTGTGTGTGTGTGTGTGTGGGTGGGGGTTCTTCAGTCTGCTTGCAAAGAAGAGAAGCTGTTGTGCCTTTGTGCTGGTATTGGTCTTATGGATGTAATTTCTTAACTGAGTTCCCTTAACCTGGCAGGATTTTCTAGGGGGAGGGTGGGGGGAATAGTCTTATCATATTCATATTCTTTTTAGTCTCTAATAATTTTTGTGATTTTGCAATTACAGAATTCAACAAAATAAACAACAAATACAATAAAACATATACGCTACCAACAAAATAATCATGCTAGTTGAGTTAAATTAAATAATCTCAATCTTTAAAAACATTGTTTATCCCCACAACAAACTGTTGGGTCAAGTAGGTGGCAGTTCAACACTTCACTTCTAGTAGACAAACATTTCAGCAATTTCCTTTCTGGAAAGTGGGCATCCTTTATTGAAGGAAATAACTCCCCAGAAATATTATCATGGGTACTTAAAGGACATATCATTTCATATTCCACACACAAGAAAATGAAGGAACAAGAAATACAACAAGAACTTGAACAGAAACTGAAACATCTATATTCCCAACATTTCCACTCCTTTAATGAGCAAACCCAAAATGAGATACAGAAAATTAAAACTCAGCTTGAAAATACCATATATTGACAGAACCAATTCCTCATACAAAGAATGAGGCTGAACTATTTTGAACAAAATGAACAAAATGTAAATTTCCTTACTAATCAGCTGAAAAGAAACAAAAAACATTCATTACAGCAATCCAAAACACAGGAAAATGTTATATATAACCCAAAACATAGAAACACATTTTTTTGTGATTGCTATCAGAGTCTTTATCCTTAAGATAATGTATCAAGTATTCAGAATATCTATTCATTCTTTGATAGCACTGAACTTTCCCAATGATTCATATTAGACCAACCCAGGAATACCCTATTCTCCATGCCAAAGCAATAAATCATAAGCGATGACTACCCATTTTATTCCAGGTGATAATTGAAAATTATGTTCAATGGCCATTGAACCAAATATGATAGCACAGAAATGGTAATGTCTACCCATTTCTTTTGATGGGTACAGAAACCATATACATAGATTAATACAATCATTAATGATCATCATAAACCAGTTAATGATGATCATTAATGTTTAATTCAGTGACACTGTAAGAAGGAAATCCCAGTATTTGAGAACCTAGGCTAGACTTTATAATAGCATGTCTGTTGCATACTTGTTGTGTAAAGTTTTAAAAGCTTAATCATTTTGTTCATGAACCCAGACAAAATTCCATATGACCATAGCAGCTTGGTTTAAAAATCAAGATTCAAACACGTTTACTTCATTTCACTTGTAATTCAGAAACATGTTTGTTTGATTGTTTGGTTGTTGTTGAACTTATTCTTGTTTCTTGAGACTGTTTCTTTCACAGTCTATTCCACACTGACACAGAACTGTGCACTCTAAAGAGGCTGCCTTTCTTGTGGCCACAACTGAAGGCTTGTTTTAGCTTGAGTCCATCTAATTGCAGTCTGTTGGAGATGACACATCAAGTGCTTGTCCACAGCAGTGTCCTCCCTGCATTGCTTATTCTTATACACTTATACTTGATTTGTGATTTGATTTGTGCCTTGTTGTAAATTTGGCAAATAGTCTTTATGTCTACAGTTGATGCCTTGTTAACAGCAGTCAGTTGTCAAGTAAGCTGCACAAATAGGTGCAGCGCACACCTTTGTGCACATAATTATTTTAACACCATAACTGCATCACTGAATGCAGAAAAGACCTTTGATAAAGTCGACTAGACATTTGTTTTTATTACCCATGACTGAATTGGTCGTTCATTCAGTGGATCGAACTCTACAACTCAAGATCTTCATCAGTTATAACTAGGGGTGTGACAAAATCTTGTGGTACGAGATCCCGCAAGATTAAAATCTGACAAGATTTCTCTGCAGGTCAAATGCTGTCTCATAAGAGTCTGATTTTTCATGCGCTCTCAGGCCATACATAAATTTTGAAATGCAGTGAAAAACAAATAGTATAAAACAGTATAACTGATAATACATAGCAGAGTATTCAATTCAATTTTATTTATATAGTGCCAAATCACAATAACAATTATCTCACAGCGCTTTTCATAAAAGAGCAGGTCTAGACCGTACTCTGTGATGTTATTTACTAACAGTTCCCACCAAGAGCAGCACTAGGCGACAGAGGCAAGGGAAAACTTCCTTTTAAGAGGCAGAAACCTCGAGCAGAACCATGGCTCAGAGTGGGCGGCCATCTGCCCTGACCGGTTGGGGGTGAAGGAGAGAGAGAGAGATTTTTTATCTATATTTTTATTTTTTAAACATACACACACATACACACACACAAACACACACACACAAACACACACACACACTTACTATTTTATTTATTTATTTTATTAAAATTTTTAATATATATATATTTTAACACACAGATACACACACACGCTTACTGTTTTATTTATTTTATTTTTAATATATTTTTATTTTTTAACAAACACACACACACACGCGCTTCCTGTTTTATTTATTTATTTCATTTTGATTTTTAATATTTAATATTAATATCTTTTTTTATTAACACAAACACACATACGATGTGATTACTTTACGCTTTAATTACTTGTTTAATGAAATGTATGGGGCTGATTGTTGTTACTATATTAACAATAGTTGTAGCAGAGGGTGTCGAGCAGGAACACGGGGTCAGCAGGTGATTCACAACCACAGATCCAGACTCCACAGCTCCAGAGCCAGAAACACCTGCAGGAAGTGATAGGAAGAGAGAGGAGAGGGACGAGAAAGCACAAGACTATGGGAAAGGGAAGAAGTCACTAAGGGATGATTCAGGACTCACCTGAGCCAGCCCTAACTATAAGCTTTATCAAAGAGGAAAGTCTTAAGCCTACTCTTAAATGTGGAGATGGTGTCTGCCTCCTGAACCCAAACTGGAACCTGACTTCCACAGGAGAGGAGCTTGATAGCTGAACGCTCTGGCTCCTAGTCTACTTTTGGAGACTCTAGGAACCACAGGTAACCCTGCATTCTGGGAGCGCAGTGCTCTGGTGGGGTAATAAGGTACTATGAGCTCTTTAAGATAAGATGGTGCCTGACCATTAAGAGCTTTGTAGGTAAGAAGAATGATTTTAAATTCTATTCTGGATTTTACTGGAAGCCAATGCAGAGAAGCTAAGACAGGAGAAATGTGATCTCTTTAAATTACAGGTCATTCAGGTTTTAACATCCTGAAGGCACATTTGAAGTTTAGCTAACTGATTATTTTCATCTTGATAGATATAACTGAGTATCATCTGCATAACAATGAAAGTTTATGGAATATTTCCTGATAATATTGCCTAAAGGAAGCATATATAAAGTGAACAGGATTGGTCCGAGGACAGATCCTTGAGGATATAGGGCAGGTAAACAATATCGCTAAGTAACAATATAGCTTTGTGACAACTTTTACACCCAGTCTGTGTTGCGAAGCACTGAACTGACCTTTGGGGCTTCTGTGGCCTGTGACCGGAATCTGATGTCACCTACCGGTCACACAGCGCAAGTTTGAAATTAAGTAAGGTGAATTACTAATGGAGTTGTGAAATGCAAATCCCAAACTCAAACTCAAATTCAAACTACACTCTCTTATTGTTTTCGTAAGCCTGCAGCTGATTTTTCTTCCGCTCTGGGTGACACTGCAGCTGCAGCAGATGACCCAAACGTTCTAGTTACTGCCACTACAGAAAACGAGCCAGATGAGGCTAATGCTATCGTAACGTTGCCTGGTGACTGAAAGTAGATACGTTATCATTAACGGAACTGTAACAGCATTGTTGGTATATTGAAGTGCATCTAGAACTAGTTAACTAACGTTAATGTGGTGAATCAATGAATGCGGGATACTCTGTGTGTCTGTGTCTGTGTGTGTGTGTGTGTGTGTGTGTGTGTGTGTGTGTGTACACAGTAGTAGAAATAGCAGTTCCTGGATGCTTGCTCATGCATTTAAGCTTATAAAGTAGGCTACATAACCTAAGTTTGACAATGGTTTTGGAAGATAAGAGTGCTTGAGATGATGTGGACCACTTTTTGTGTCCTCACTGTTAATAATATTCTGTAATGAATGCGTTTTGGTGATAGAACTGCACATAGGCCTATATTTATTGTTATTACTGCTATTGAGCCTCAGCTTTCCATTTTTGCTAATAATAGTTGCAACTTACTCTTAAAGGTACATTGAAAATTGTTAGCGGATAAAAGTCATACACACAACACATTCATGTGTTGATAACACATAGCCTAAGCAGTCCTTCAGAATGTTTTCTCTATTACATATACATGCATTAGGGCTGTCCCAGACTATGAATTTACATAGTCGAATCGGAATCGTGAAGTCCTGCCTATTCGACTGATAATCAAATAATGTGTGTTTTTGTGCACAGCGATTGCGATCCAGGGTGAGTGGGGTGGGGGGTTACAAACGGTAGCTCCGCTTTAATCTTGAGAGGCTGCAGAGCTGCAGTTCCTATTCATTCAACTTACACCGTAAATTTCCAGCCCCTTCTCTCTCTCTCTCTCTCTCTTTCTCTCTCTCGTCATTCACTGGTCT